CGTGCTCGCTGGTCGGTGTCATGAAGCCGACCGTTTCGCTGGTGCCGGAGGCCGGCGAAGACTTCCAGGCGGTAGCGGCAGCTGTGCAGTCGAACCCATCGGTGGTTCTACTCGACAGCGGCTGCTCACACCACCTGATGGGGACGAAGGAGGCCTTCGTCGACTTGGAGCCGAGCGGCGACGTGAAGCACGTGCGCGGCTTCAATGGGGCGCTGCAAGACGTCCAAGGCCGGGGCACGGTCGCCTTGCAAGGCGAGGCCGGGAAGTGGGTTCACATTCCCGATGTGCTTTACGTCCCAGGCATGGCGGCGAACCTGCTGTCGGCTGGTCAGCTGAAGGAGAACGGTGTAAAGCTGCAGGAGGACGGCGACGAGATGCTGCTCGTTTCGGCAGCCGGGGATGTCCTTGGCAGGGCGTCCTACAATAGCCGGGTGCTCAGCGACGTCGACGACGCCCACGTCGGAGGTGGTGGCCCTGTTGCCGATAGTCTCGGCAACGAAGTCGTCACCGGAGAGGCTACATGCGAGGCTCGCCCACATCGGCATGGACACCATCCAGAGCTCGGCAAAGCACGCGGTCGCCGTTGGGCTGGACCTCAAGTAGGTGTCTGGCGCCGACTCGCCGTGCGTTTCGTGCGTCGGCGGGAAGCTGGCGCGGCACACCTTCCCCGACAAGGGCTCGGACGCCGACGACATGCTGACCGTCGTGCACATCGATCTGTATGGGCCGTTTCGCGTGGCTGCCAAGGATGGCAGCCTGAGGCTAGTCGCCAAGAAGTCGGACGTGCTGCAGGAGATTATACAATGCCTGGTGGTGGCTGAGAGGCAAAAGCAGAAGTCAGTGTTGATGCTGCGTTCTGACCGGGGAGGGGAGTTCCTCGGGAAGGACTTCACCGCCTTCGTGGACGGCAAGGGGATCCTCCACGACCTCACCTGCAGCAGAACGGCATGGCGGAGCGGGAGATGCGGACGGTGGTGGAGTCGGTGCGGACGATGCTGCTGCACATGGGTGTGGAGCATCATTGGTGGCACCTCGATCTGCGGCAGGCCGTCTAAAACCGCAAGTGCCTTAAGAGGTCGGCGCTGCTGCCGGGGACAACGCCGTACCAACTGCTGACCGGAAAGAAGCCCGACTTGTTGCTGGCACGAGTGTGGGGCTGCATGGCGCAATTCCTCGTCCCCGAGCAGCAGCGCGGTGGGAAGCTGAAGCCGAAGGCCAAGTGGGGCCTTCACCTTGGTGTGCCGGAGGAAAGCAAGGGCTGGGAGCTCCTCGACATCGCCGACAACCGGCTGGTCAGTACGTCGGACGTGGTGTTCTACGAGACGATGTCGCTGGAGGTGTGGAAGTCGGAGCATGGACCGGCGTCGGGATGAATTCCGACCAACCCGCCGATGGACACCTCGACAGCGACAGTGAACAGAGGTTCGCCGAGGTCGGTGAGCTCGCTGATGAGGACGCCAAGGTCGTCCGCCCTCCTGCCCCTCCTCCTGCACCTCCTACCCCACCACTTGTCGCCGACCTGCGTAGACTGACTCGACGTCGGCCAGCGGCGATGAGGGGAGCAGTGGGGCGTCGTCTACGGCCCCGGCCGAGTGCATCGAGGTGGCCAACATGACGTTCAGCAAGACGGTGTGGGAGTGAAGTCAACACCGACCAGGGAAGAGCAGGCCAAGGAAGTGCAGCCGATTTTGGTGAAGCCGGCGAAGGAGGCATCTGTAGGGCAGCATCCGACAGGGGAGCACGCAGTCGTGGAGCCGACCAAGGAGAAGTTGGCGACCGGGAAATCGGCAGGGAAGCCGACCGTTGGGGAGAAGTCGGCAGGGAAGCCGACTGTAGTGCAGCAGGACTCTGGGGGCAGCGAAGCCGGTGACAAAAAAGGAGATGCCGATGAGTCAGCGACAGCGATGAGGTGGAGGTCCAACCAGAACCACGGCGCTCAGGCCGACTTCAGAGGACACCTGACTTCTTTATACCGGCCGCCTTCACCATGGTGTACGACGTCGACGACGACGACTTGGAATACGACGACACCGAGGACGCCGACGACCTGCCCGAGCTCGACCCCGAAATGCACGCCGACCCTGAGCACCGTTGGGACATCGCGACGATGACGGTGAAAGAAGCATTGGCGAGCTAGAAGGGTAAGGCAGTAAAGGCCGCCATGGAAGAGGAAATCCGTAGCCTCCTCGCCATGGGCACCTTGGAGCTGGTCAAACGCCCACATGGCGTGAACATTATAAAGAACCGGTGGGTGCTGACGACGAAGTACCGCATCGACGACACCGTCGAGCGCGAGAAGGCGAGGCTGGTCGTGAAAGGCTTCACGCAGGTGTATGGTGTAACTTCAAAATCACTAACTTTTGAAACTTTCTGACCTTCCTTCTTGGACATCACCCGGTTACACGTGGCCTTCTCTCTCTTCCTTGAAGTACGAGACTCTTTTCTCTTGGCCAGCACTTCCTCCCTTGTAGAGTTGCAGCCCTCTCCTTGGGCTCTCCTCCACTAGTAGGATGCTCCACCAAAGGTAGACTCCAAGGGTACTCCAAAGTAGATTGAGAGGGCTAGGCACCAAGGTAGCTTAGAAGGTTGAGGGAGCTTGTGGCATTGGTAAGAATGCACTATGAATAATATGAGTTACACACAAGCTACAAGGACTTATATAGTGGAAGGGCATACCCAAACCACCATCCTTCGATCTTATTCATGCAATCCTAGGAATCCTTTCCCTATTGGCCGAGGATCCTAGCAATCCAACTAACCAATGAGAGTGCTCCGTTGAGCTCACCCATATCTCCAAGGGAATCTCCACCATAGAACCTTCCTTGTTGCCTTCCTCCATGCTCCTTCCAAGTCATTTCTCCAATAGATCCTTCTTAGCTTCCACTAATAAAGCTTCCAACCAACCACCTTCCAAGGAACCTTCCTCTTACTCTTATTCCCAATGAACCTTCCTTATGTCCATACCATCCTCCTTAATGCAATCCCCAACTACATACATAAGAATAAAGGGTAAACCTTGGTAAAATACCCTCCACAAGCACGAACCCTCTTATAAATAACCTGAGGGTTGACCCAAACCAATAGACCTTACCAAGATCATAGGCTTTATCTTTAGAAGTTTAGGGTTTATGTCACAATTGTAACTTTCTCGGGCGCGGTCTTGTGGCTCCTGACACAAGGGAGGGTACCTTCCCAAGACTCCCCACATACCATGCCAAAATCACTCAAGGCACACTCACACCACACTCTAAAAGAAAACCCCTATATCCCCGGTCATTCCACTCCACGCCATGAGTTTTCACCGTCCTTCGTATGGCACCAAATCTGGTCCATCCTCTAGAAGCTTTCTCTCTCTCTCTTTCACCTTAGGCTGATACGTTACTTGCCTCACCCTCCTTTCCAACTATTACGCCGGTCCCGGTCTGTCCCTCATCTGCCCATAAGGTCGGTACATCGCCCCCAACTGCAGCACCACCGGCTCCCTCAACCAACCAACGGTTACTGCCCGTCTTACCCTTCTCCCAAATGGGTCCAGAAATATCTCCCCATGCTCCAACTCATAGTCCAAGGGTATTGCCATAGAGAATCTTGGGATCCAGGAAAGTTCCCCTTCAGAGGTGGTGAGATTAGAGGGGGGGGAAGATGAGGAGGGTGAAGGAGTGGTATAGTCGTCTGAAGAGGGGGAGGAAGGGGTAGGGGTAGTGGATGGGGAGTCGGGAGAGTATGAGGGAGAATGGCTTGTGGGAGAGTCAGGGGGTAAAGAAGAGATGGAGTTGTATGTGAGGGAAGGAGATGGAGAGCGAGGAGGTGAAGGGGGCGAAGGATAAGAGGGTGGAGGAATAGTAGAGGGTGGGGAGGGGTTAGGAGGAGGCGGAGGGGAAGGGTTTGAAGGAGGAGGTGGGGGTGAGTTAGGCGAAGGAGATGGGTTAGGAATAGGAGGTGGTGAGAATTGAGGCATAGGATGAGAGTCTTGAGGAGGAGGCACGTATTGAGGAGGGATGATGGTAGATAGAGGGAATCCCATATATGTGTTAGGAAAGAGGGGAGGAGCAGGGGGAGGCGGTTCAGGTAAGGGGTAGAAGCGAAGAAGAGGGAAGCGGGGGTCAACGTAGATTCGAGAGTTGATAGGGGCGGGGAGATGAATATCCCATGAAGTTGCTTCGATGTTGATATCCGTCCCCCTTCCCTCCAGGGGCCAAGACACTACCCAACTCCTTCCATCATCCACCAGCGGCACCACCTCTCCTCGGGAGGGACTCCATCTGTAGGCTATCTGAACCTCATTGATGTACCTCATAACATCCCTTGTTACTTCAATGATGACCCACCCATACAGTAAGGCCAACCTCACCCCTCCATGCCTTATGTCCAAGCTCCTCCCTCTCAACCAAGGTGCACGGGGGTCCACAAAGTCGAGTTGGGGTAATACTGAATTTGGATCGAAGTCCGAAACCAAAGCACTTCCCCTCGTCCAGACCCTCATGAACACCGTCCCATAAGCCTCATTCCAATAGATCTCCTCCCAATCGATGTTCACCTCCCGAAAGTAGTACCCTCTCTGTACAATCCCCAAAAGAGGCACCAACCAGAGGTATGGCTCGTCCCCCATCAACCTCAACAACGTCTCCGTGTGGTCCATGGTTATAGATGCCCTAAAAGCGAGGATTAGTCGGGTCGCAAGCTCTTTCGTCTCTCGATTATGAATATGGAATGATGGGAGAAGAGAGGAGGAGGAAGGGTTTGAATCTCTTGATCGCACGCTGCTCGAGTCACCGAGTTCGCCGCCGAATCTGCTTCGAAGGCCAATCTAAACTAGGGTAACCTATTGATCGCTTTGTTCGCCGTTGATCGCCCATTCGCCTTGGTCGCTGGTAGCCTAAGATCGCTCTGATCGCCGGTAGCCGTTGAGAGTGGGTATACAGGCGTTACCTGTACTTCGCAGGGAGAGTGGGGGTATATAGGCGTTACCTATACTTTGCGGGGAGAGTGGGGATATGACTTTAAGGCACCAACTTCACCAGCTGCACGTTCTCTCGAGACTCCCTCCATACCACTCCCGCCTTATCCTCCAACACCACATGAAACTGCTCCACCTCCTTCACCTTGAATAGGGTCTTGAACTTTGGTTTCTGATTCTCCCATGCCACCCTCTTACTCGGACTGATCCGAATGAAGTCCCCTTTTTCCAACTTCTCCTTCTCCAACACCATCGTCCTCCTTAGGTCAAAGTCCATTTTCTGCTTCTCCTGTGCCCTATCATGGTTCCCCGCAGCCTGCGCCAACGTCAACTCCATCTCCGAGGTCCTCTTGTACAAGTACCCCGCCACCGCATCCGCTTCTTCCTCCGTGGACAGCTCCGACAGCTCCCACACCTCAAACTCCGCCATGGTAGAACCCGTGATGTTGGGGTGACACACATACTGCAGGAAGAAGGGGGAAAATTTGGTGGAAGAATGGATTGAAGCCCTGTACCCCAGCAGCACCCACCAGATGTTCTCATCCCACTCCAAAGGGTTGGCCTCCCCAAGCCTCATCAGCGCCCCCTTCAAAGTCCGCTGGAACCTCTCAATGAGCCCCGAGCTTTGAGGATGTTCTGGCTTCGAGAACTCATGTAAGATCCCAAACTTCTCTAACAGCACCCCAAACTCCCCCTTGAAGTGCGTCCCGTTGTCCGTGTGAATCACCAAGGGGCAGCCATGGTTGGAGATGATCTTTTCTGCTACAAAAGCCGCTGCTGTTGCCGCATCTGCCTGTTGCACCGGCTTGCACTCCGGCCACTCGGTGAAATGATCTATGGCCGAGATCAAGTGCTTGTTCCCTCCCTTGGCTATGGTGTGTGTCAGCCCAATAAAGTCTATCACTACCCTTTTCCACTGCTTCGTGACCGGTACCGGCTGTAATTCCCATTTCGCCGTCCAAGATCCCTTCTGCAACACACACGTCGCACACCCCTTCACAAACGCCGTCCCTCCCCACTCCGTACCAATCGTACTGCTTCTTGACCAAGTCCGTAGTCCTCTGCTCTCCCAAATGCCCCAACCCATGAAGAAATGCAATGATATTTCTCCTCTCCTCCTTCCTATGTACTGGCTTCAAATCTCATTTGATCTTCCTCAGCAGCCTCCCATCCCTCCATTGAAAGTTCTTGCCCCTTGCTCTCACCCTCCTTTTCTCCACCGAGTTCCATGGCGGATCAACCGCTCCCTTCTCCAGGAAAAACAACGTGTTGGCGTCATCCCAAATGTCGAGGGTGGTCTCGGACGCGAGATTCTTACTCGGGGTCCCCTCCTCTCCTTCCTCTTCATCTTCATCCACCCTTGTCTTCTTCTTAGGTTGCCCTAGCTCCTCCAAAAGCTACTCGTCTACTCCTTCATCCGGCCGCTGCGCCTCCTCAAAATCCCCACCATCCTCGTCTTCTCCGACCTCTTCCCCTTCATCTCCTCTTCACTACTTTCCTCCTCTACCTCCCCTTCCTTCTTCTTGTCTCCCTCCTCCTTGCTTCCTTCGTCCTCTTCCTTGCTATCATCCTCCTCTCCTTCACCGTTCTCCTTATCCTCCTCCGTGCTCTCCATCCTTCTCTTTCTCCCCTTGGGTCACCGACTCACTACTCTCCCCCTCTTCTTTATCTTGGTTTTTGGGGAAGAGGGATGTGTACATGGGGATTGCTATAAACACAGTAGGCTTCAATGTGCCTAGAACCAAAGATAGAGTGCGCAGTCAGATTTCTACATAGCGGCTTCAAACGTTCATAGCGTTCTGGTCACAGCTCCAAACGACCTCATTCAACTTGGATCTGGAGCTTCTTAACGTAGCCTACAACATGCAATTTAGATCGCACGATTTTATCAAGAATTGACGACACAGCGTCAGATTGAACGAACGGCACTATGGCAGCAACATAGTCTTAGAACACAAAGTTACAAACAGCTAGGAAGAGTTTCGAGTTGGGAATGACTCCCAGCTCCTACAAACCCCAAGAGCCGAGGTACAGTGATGTGGAACAGTGCCACACTGTCCCCAACCAAGAAGGGTCTCGAAACTACCCTCCACAAGGGCCTACACCTATAGAAATGTTACACTACACATTGTAATATAACTATCTTCTTTATCTTGAGGTGTACCCTTTTGGCCAGCTTCGAAATCACTTGAAGCTTGCAACCAAGGCTCGGGTTCTTCATCACAAACTCATCCTTGAGTTCTTGATGGGTCTGTTGCACACACCTGCGACACGCCGAACGTTCGACATAGGACAAAATAGAAACCGCGCACGGGACACACGACAAAATAGAAACCGCGCGCGAGACACAAATGACCGCATTGACACGCGGCTAGCGATAACTCGCTATTGACTCGACACACACACTCGACATCATGACCCATCATTCACACACCATTATAAGCATGAAATATATATTTATTTCATGCACTCATACCACTCCATGCACACACGCATGCACGCACACGCACACGGACAACAAGCCGAGTGCAAACCGTAGGGTTGCACCAACAAGTAGGAATGGGGTAGCTGGTGTGGGAGATGGGAGGTGAGGGAATGTATGCATGCCAATGGAATGGTCCTCCCCCCCCCGCATGAAGATGCAACTCCGGTTGCATGCGGCTCAAGCAATACACGTTCTTATGCGTCTCCCCCGCCCGGTAGGTAATGGTGAAATCGTACTCCTGCAGTAGCAAACTCCATCTAGCCAGCTTCCCCGTGAGGTCCTTCGCCGTCATAAGCCACTGCAACGCTTGGTGATCCGTCTGCAACAAGAACTTGCTCCCGTAGAGGTAGGGCCTAAAGTGTTTGATCGCCCATATCACCGCCGAACACTCTCCGTGTGTTGAAGATAAATTCCGCTCTGCTCCCCTTGTAGTTCGGCCAGCGAAGCCACCACCCGCTCCGCTCCCTTCTCATCCTTTTGTGCCAAGATATCTCCTAACGCCTTGGCCGAAAAATCTGTTTGGAGAAGGAATGGCTTTTGGAAATCCGGGAATGCAAGGATGGGGGGTGAAATGAGTGCGAGCTTGAGGGTGTTCAAGGCGTGCTTGCATACTTGAGTCCACTCGAAAGGACTTTCTTTATGAAGCAGCTGCGTGAGTGGGTGTGCCATCTTGGCATACCCTTTGATGAACCTCCTATAGTAGCTCGTGCACCCCAAAAACTCCCTCACTCCCTTCTGGTCCTCGGGTGCTGCCATGTTGCTAATTTCCTCCACCTTTCCCCCGTCTGGCTTCACTCCTTCCCTAGTCACCACGTGCCCCAGGTAGATGGTGGAGTAGAAACCCAGCTCACACTTGTTCGGCTTCAACGGTAGATGGTTCTCCTTGATCCTCTTAAAGGCATCCCGTAGATGGTCAAGATGCTCCTCCAAATGTTGGAAAAGACGATGATATTGTCTAGGTATGGGATGGCGTTGGTATGGTGCGGAAAGTGGTGGTCATGAGGCATTGGAAGGTGGCGGGTGCGTTCTTAAGACCAAACGGCATCCATGTGTATTCGTACTGACCCGTGGAAGTGACAAAAGCTGTCTTAAGTACGTCCTCCTCCGCTACAAGGATGGTATGGTAGGCGGATTTGGTAGGCGTCTTATCTAGGATATCGTCTATCCGCGGCATGGGAAATTGATCGGCTGCCTCCGTAACTGCGTTGAGCGGACGGTAATCGATCACCACCCGGTCCCTAAAGTCTTTCTTAGGGATAACTATGCATAGGGATGACCATGGGCTGTTGGACGGGTGAATGACTCCTTTCTTGAGCAATGTGCTAACCTCCTCCTCGATCCTAGCGCGCTCGGAGGGTGAGACTCGGTATGGCTTATGGGGGATAGGCTTAGCGTTGCCTATGGAGATGTGGTGGCGGATGGTGGGATGGGTTCCTAACGTCTCCTCTGTGGAGAAAATGTCCCTATACTCCACCAAAAGCGTCCGCACCTCCTTCTGTTGCTGCTCCCCCTTCTCGTGGTTCAACGAGACGGGAAGGTCTTCAAACGCGGGGCAAGCTACCCTAGGCGCTTCCTTTTTGAGAGTGTAGTAGCTTCCTATGATGATCCTCCCCTCACCCCCCTTCTCTGCTGCAAGGTAATTCCCCCTTTCCGCAACAGGGCAGTTGAATAATTCAAAGAGATGGTTCGGGCTAATCCGCTTCCTCTTCTTATCGTAGACCAACTCCCATTCCTTCGTTCCCTGGTCTAAGTACTCTTCCCCATCTACCATCGAGTCTCCTTCCCACTTGGCCTCGTTCACCTCCTCTACGTATCTCTCCACCATCTCCTCATACTCCTGTTCCAATCAATCCCCGTGGCCATCGTATCCCAAGCTCCCATCTCGTCCGCCGTTGGGCTCCCAAAGTTATACCCCCAAGTCTCCTCCTCTTCTCCACCAGCCTCCTTAATCCCCTTCTCCTCCTCTTCCTCCTCAGACTCCTCCGCATTAGAAGCCTCCTCCTTCTCCTCTTCCTCCTAATGCTCCCTCAACCATAGGTAATACTCGTCCTCCTCCTCCGCATTCAACTCCATCCTACCCTCCTCCTCCGCCATGGCTATCCTCCTCACCTCCATCCAATTGAGGAAATCCTGCTCCTCCATCCACTCCTTGATCCGCTTCTCATCCTCCTCGTTGATGTTCTTGTGGGTTGTGTGGGAGGGGAGGAGCACAAAAGAGGGGCGGCCAGCACCACCCAATGGTCCCGTGATGATGGGGACCGAGTCGGTCTCCGTGGTGGGGGAAATGAAGGCCGCTGGGTGGGAAAAAGTGAAGGCGATGGCGGGTGGGAAGTCGCGACGGGGTTGGGGGGGGTGACCGCGACGGAGAAGAGCAGGCGACGGTGGGCGGGGAGTGAAGGCGACGGGGGGAAGTGAAGGCGACGGGGGGGAAGTGAAGGGGACGGGGGGGAAGTGAAGGCGACGGGGGGGAAGTGAAGGCGCCGGGCGGAGCGTTCGCGATGGGCTGGGGTCGCGATGGGCTGGGGTCGCGAAGGCGACGAGCTGCGGAAATGATGGCGACGACGCGGGCGACAGAGAGCGGAAGCGTGGGACCTAGGGAAAGGAAAGGCGCAACGCCGACGCCCTGCCCTGTCTACGGGTATGCAGTATTCATCATACCATGCGTGCTGGCAAACTGTGCACAGTTTGGTATGCAAGCGCTTTTCTGGTTGTAGGAAGGACCCCACCCATCTTGGGAAGCGAGTTTACTTTTGTCGCAAATTGTTTCGCGAGTTGAAAGTCTCTCGCAACCCAACCGAACCTCTCCGTGCCTGCCTCCCGAGCTTAGTTTTTGGCGTTGACTTCCGTTGAGTAATTCAGGTCTTGGGCTTTAACCTGATAGACTATCTTCCCCTTGCTAGTCAAGATATCTGCTTTGGCCGAATAGATCCAATCGCGCCCTAGGAGCGTGTCGTACGTGTTTGCTCCCGTCACCGCAATATCCACCGGTAGAGTCAGCTTCCCTACTCTAACCGGCACATCCAGCAAAATCCCCCACGGCTTCGAAGTCTCCCCACTAGAGGTGGTAAACTCTATGGTGGTATCTTGGATGTACGGTAGTAGACCAAGCTTTCTAGCTATCACGTGAGAAAGGGCGGTTTGTAAAGCTCCCGAATCAACTATCGCGGTCACCCGATGCTTACCGAGGTACACATCGCATTGAGGGATCTGAAAGAATAGGTTACTAGCTCTAGGTGCCTCCTTCTCCTTTCCCTTTTCCTCCACTGGTGCGGCTGCCACTACCTTTGCCACCCCTTGCATAGCGGCTGCCCCATCCTCCTTCTCCTCATCCCCCTTCTTTAAAGCCTCCAATAGCTCCTTTCTCACCTTATCACTGTCCTTGATGTAATTCCATACACTCGCACTCACTGTCGTCAGCTTGAGCTGATCCACCACATTGTAGGATGTGGGAAGGGACGAGATCCTAGCCTTTCCCCGCACAAACCTCGATCCTTTTGCCTCCTCTCCTCCTTCCGCCAACTTCTTCCTCGACTCCTCCCTTGCCTCCTCGATCCCGCACCCTTCTGGATCCCTAATGGTGCGCCTCTTCCTTTCCCCCACCAACATTTCCGCTTCCCCTTCTCCATTCAAGAATTCCGCTATGGTCATGGTCGGTTTCGACTTCTCCAGTATCTCCTGCATCATGTTCATGGCCTGCCCCCCCTTCTGAGTGCAATCCCTATCCATATGCCCCTCCTTCCCACATTGGTAACACTTAAAACCTCCTCCTCCTCCTCCTGCTCCGCCCCCCGTTCTAGGTAGGATGCCTGCTCCCCTACCCTGCTGCATCTGAGTCAGCCGCATGGTCGACCTTTCCAACTGCTTCGTGATCTTATCCACATCCGACTCTTCCTTCACCTCTACCTTCTTCTCCTCCTTCTCTATCTCATTTGGCTGTGCGTAGGTCACAAAGTACTTAGCGGCTTCCTCCGCTGCCTCCAATGATACCGGCCTTCCACCCAACACCTTCTCCCTCAACCCCGAATCCTCCAAACCCTCAATAAACGCTCTCACCATCATGGCGACTGGGTAGTCTTTGACGTAGGAGGCCAATTGCCTCACCTCGTCCGCTAACTCCGTCACTGTCTGCCCCTTTTTCTGCTTCAAGGTTGTCAATTTATGCATCACCGTCGCCGTGGACTCCCAAACGAACCGATCCTGGAACGCTTGTTCGAAGCCCGACACCGTCGTGAAGTTCTTGCTCTCCGCCCACACGTAGGCAGAGACGGTGAGGTGCATGAGTAGGTAGTCCAACTTCTCCTCGTCCGACGTGTTCGCAAGGAAGCACCTCATCGCCCTCGTGGCTTGGCTTAGCCACACCTTAGGGTCGGGAGAGCATCCATCGAACTGCGGGAGCTGGCCCATAGCTGCAGCAATCGTCGACATGGTATTAGTAGGAGTACGTACAACGTCCGTATTCTCAGCCAAAAGGAGAGAGGGACCTGTCTGGACCACCACAAAATCACTAACTTTTGAAACTTTCTGACCTTCCTTCTTGGACATCACCCAGTTACACGTGACCTTCTCTCTCTTCCTTGTAGTACGAGACTCCCTTCTCTTGGCCAGCGCTTCCTCCCTTGTAGAGTTGCAGCCCTCTCCTTGGGCTCTCTTCCACTAGTAGGATGCTCCACCAAAGGTAGACTCCAAGGGTACTCCAAAGTAGATTGAGAGGGCTAGGCTCCAAGGTAGCTTAGAAGGTTGAGGGAGCTTGTGGCATTGGTAAGAATGCACTATGAATAATATGAGTTACACACAAGCTACAAGGACTTATATAGTGGATTTCTTATAATACAGCCAATTTTTCCTTTGCTGGTTGCGCAGTAGATTCAGGTGAAGGGCATACCATCCTTCTATCTTATTCATGCAATCCTAGGAATCCTTTCCCTATTGGCTGAGGATCCTAGCAATCCAACTAACTAGTGAGAGTGCTCACCCATATCTCCAAGGGAATCTCCACCATAGAACCTTCCTTGTTGCCTTCCTCCATGCTCCTTCCAAGTCATTTCCCCAATAGATCCTTCTTAGCTTCCACCAATGAAGTTTCCAACCAACCACCTTCCAAGGAACCTTCTTCTTACACTTATTCCCAAGGAACGTTCCTTATGTCCACACCTTCCTCCTTAATGCAATTCCCAACTACATACATAAGAATAAAGGGTAAACCTTGGTAAAATACTCTCACAAGCACGAACCCTCTTATAAATAACCTGAGGGTTGACCCAAACCAATAGACCTTACCAAGATCATAGGCTTTATCTTTAGAAGTTTAGGGATTACGTTACAATGGCGCCAACTACGACGAGACGTATGCGCCGGTGAGCCATTACGTCATACTAAGGATCTTCCTCAGCATCATCGTCGTCCTCGACTTCAACCTGATGCAGCTGGACATGAAGAACGCCTTCCTGCAGAGCAAGCTCGAACGCGTACTGTATATGTACCAGCCGGACTACTTCAACGACGGGACCGGCCGGGTGTGCAAGCTGCTGAAGAGCCTTTACGGGCTGAAGCAGTCGCCGCTGCTGTGGTACAAGGCGCTCAACGACGTGCTGGTTGGCACTGGCTAGAAGAAGAGCCAGGTTGATGAGGCCCTCTACTTCAAGGTTGGCGCCGACAAAGTGGCCTGCTGGGTGCAGGTCTACGTCAACGACCTGATCGCCGCCAGCAGCAGCACCGCGATAATGAAGGAGCTAAAGGAGCTGCTGAAAGCCGCCTTCGAGCTGCACGAGATCTCGCCGGTGCAGAAGTACCTCGGCCTGGAGATCGTGCGCGACAGGCCGGCGAGGAAGCTGTGGCTGCACCAGCGGGGCTACGCCGACAAGCTGCGTAGGCGTTTCATCGACGAGGAGCAGGGTGGTCGGACCCCGAAGACGCCGGTCTCTGTTGACGCCTACACCGAGCTCACCTTCGACGACGAGGAGGCACAGGAGCGCCAGGAGGAGGAGTACCGACAGAAGGTCGGACATCGCCTTCGCGGCAACGACGACAAGGTCGGACATCGCCTTCGCTTGCAGCAAGCTGGGGAGCGGCCTCACAGTGAGGAGCGACCAGCACTGGCGCGAGGTCGACCACTGCCTCGCCTACCTCGCCAACACTCGTGACACCGCCCTGGAGTTCAGCGGTGAACCAGAGACGCTGGAGCTGGTCGGCTACGTTGACGCCGACGACGCCGGCGACAAGCAGAACCGGACGAGCACAGGCGGCTACGTGTTCGTCTACGGGGGGGGGGGGGGGCGCAGTCTCCTGGTCGAGCCAGCGCATCAAGTGCGCGACGCTGTCGTCGACCGAGTCGGAGTACGTGGCGGCAACTGAAACTGCCAAGGAGGGATGCCGCCTTCGCTTCCTGCATGCAGAGTTCCGGCAGCTGGACGCCGGGAAGCCGACGGTCCTGAGGGTGGACAACAAGTCGGCCATCACGGTCGCCGAGGGCATGGGGTTGACGGGCAACCTCAAGCACATGGAGCGGCGACAGGCCTGGCTGCAGCACATGGTGAAGCGCGGGAAGTTTTCGCTGAAGTACATCCTGACCACTGAGCAGCAGGCTCACTTCTTGACAAAGGAGCTGCACTACCCGACGTCCCGGTGCTCCATCGCAATCGGCCAAGTGCGTCTGGTAGACGTAAGCAATGGCGGCGACGACGTGCAGCAGTAGGTGCCATGCCCTCATGCATGGCTGGTGCGGTGACCGGCGTGCTGTGTTTTGTGTACACACCGTCGAGCTTTTCTCCAAATAGTGCTGCCGTGTAAGGTGGAGGCCCAAGAGTGAACGCGGCAGGAAAGTGTCAACGGAAGTGGCGTATTGGCCCCGTCCTCGCTTGGGCGGAGCCGACTTCGTAGTTGGGTGTACGGGAGGTGCAGCTGATTTGCAGCAGTGGGCGACGACGACTTGGGCGAGCTGGTCGACAGGTTTGGTCGACCTGCATGGGGCCACTGCAATGCCGCCATCAAGGGAAGCCGCTGGCCGACCTCAACAGGTGATCGGCGATGTGGCTCAGCGACCTGGAAGTCGGCGCCAACTTAAACGGGCGTCGACTTGGTGACAGTTACCTGGAGTTGGTCGACCAAGGGTGTGGTCGATTTGATAAGGTTTTTGGATCAACAAGCTAGTTGGTCCAACCGGGTTGTTGGACCAACACGCCATTTGGTGCAACCTGGTTGTTGGACCTACAGATCTGTTGGTCCTACCGGGTTGTTGGACCAACAAGCCAGTAGGTCTAACCAAGTTTATTGGACCAAGAAGCCATGTTGGTCCAACCTGGTTGTTGGACCTATTGACCAATGGGTCCTACCGGGTTGATAGACCAACAAGGTAGTCGGTCCAAAAGAGAACAACAAGCTAGTTGGTCCAACCTGGTTGTTGGACCTACTAATTAGTTGGTCCGGGTTGTTGGACCAACAAGCCAGTTGGTCCAACTGGGTTGTTGGACAAACAAGCCAGTTGGTCCAACCGGGTTGTTGGACCAACAAGCCAGTTGGTCTAACCTGGTTGTTGAACCTACTGACCAGTTGGTCCTACCGAGTTGTTGGGCCAACAAGCCAGTTTGTCCAACCGGGTTGTTGGACCAACAAGCCAGTTGGTCCAGCCGGGTTGTTGGTCCATCAAGCCAATTGATCCAACCATATTGTTGGATTAACAAGCCAATCTGGTCCAATCTGGTTGTTGGACCTACAGACAAATTGGTCCTACAAGGTTGTTGGACCAGCAAGCCGGTTGGTCCAACTGGGTTGTTGGACCAACAAGCCAATTCTTCCAAATGGGTTATGAGACCTACTGACTAGTCAGTCCTACCGGGTTGTTGGACCAGCAAGCCAGTTGGTCCAACCAGGTCGTTGGACCAACAAAATAATTGGTCAAACTGGGTTGTTGGACCTACTGACCAGTTGGACCTACCGAGTTGTTGGACCAACAAGCCAGTTTGTCGAACTGGGTTGTTGGACCAGCAAGCCAAGCAAGCCAATTTGTCCAACCAGGTTGTTGAACCAACAAGCCATTTGGTCCAACCTGGTTGTTGGACCTATTCACCAGTTGGTCCGACCAGATTGTTAATCCAGCAAGCCAGTTGTTCCAAATAAGACCAACAAGCTAGTTGGTCCAACCTGGTTTTTGGACCTACTGATTAGTTGGTCCTTCTGGTTGTTGGACCAAAAAGCCAGCTGGTCTAACCTGGTTGTTGGACCTACTGACCAGTTGGTCCTACCGATTTGTTGAACCAACGAGCCAGTTTGTCCAACCGGGTTGTTAAACCAACAAGCCAGTTGGTCCAGCCGGGTTGTTGGACCTACTGACCAATTGGTCCTACTGGGTTGTTGGTCCATCAAGCCAGTTGATGCAACCGTATTGCTGGACCAACAAGCCAATTGGTCCAATCCGGTTGTCGGACCAAGCCAGTTGTTCCAACTGGTTTGTTGGACAAGCAAGCCGGTTGGTCCAACCAGGTTGTTGGACCAATAGGCCAGTTCTTCCAACCGGGTTTTTGGACCTACTGACTTGTTGGTCCTACCAGGTTGTTGGACGAGCAAGGCAGTTGGTCCAACAGGGTCGTTGGACCAACAAGCCAATTTGTCCAACCTGGTTGTTGGACCTACTAACCAGTTGGTCCAACCGGGTTGTTGGGCTAACAAGCCAGTTGGTCCAACCGGGT